CGAGACTTCTGAGCCTGTGGGTGCGGGTCGGTGCTCCTGCAATTGCAAGTGCAGTATTTCCCCCACAGACCACCAGGGCGGCAAAGAAAACCTTTGTTCAACCTGAAATGACTCATTTAGTCATCCATAACGTTATGGAACACATTAATTAACTGAAAAATGTTGCATAGTGTGCCTTTAATGTTGAAAAGCATCTGTACTCTGAACTTCATCTCTTCATGTACTCATTTTACTTATTACTTATTTTATTCTGTCTTATTATATTATATTTTGCTATATTTTACTTCTGTGAACGGTTGTACTGCTAGAAAAGATTTTACCGCAAGGGATTAAAGTAATTTTGTGTTAATTCTCTTAACACAAAAAAGTGACACAAAAGCTTGATGTTAATACACTAAAAACCCTGCCTGGTTTAAATGTTTTTGCATTTGATAAACAGGAAATCAATTTCATGCTTTTTAGTATTTGACAAACTGAAAAAATCAAACAAAAATTTATTAATTCTGATCGGTCTAATTTGTGTATATCTAGAATAGAACAGAATTCAACTTTTTGGTTATTACACTATCACAAGAATAAAGCAACGAAATTTAGTATCTTTAATGTAAAACAATGTAATATGTTGGATGGCATTAAGCAGAACATCAGAACCAGAATTCAGATTTAAGAAAGTTTCTAGTTTTAGAACCATCTGGCTGATCCAGTCATTAAATTACACACTCTTCAAGTCAATTACTTTAAATATCAGGAAAGGCTAGAAATAATCTGGGTTTTTTTCTGTGTGTATTTTTTTTTATTAGATTCTACAGCAAACTGTTAACACTAGAAGTCCCGGAGAATTCCAGTTTTCCTGTAAGCCCCCCTTCCCTCTTCAAGTTTGTGTATTCACTCTACTTTGCTAATTGTCCCTATTGTAATGCAAATAACCTGTGATATGACCAGCCCTTCTACATGAGACTGGATAAAGGCTGAAACAAACTGGCATCAGAATAAGAACATGCTCCAAACACTTTTCATTACCTGCCCCTGCAACTTCAGACCTTTTTGCAGGAATATATTGATAAGTCATATCTAAATCTTTTATTTAGGCAAACCTATCGAACAACCAAATATCATACGGGTCCTAGTTCCTGAGCTGAGAACAGGTCATAACCATGCTTTTCCAACAAGGCAAGGCAGAGCCTATTTATATTGTCCATTCACCAACAGACTCATTTATATTGCAAAGCTCACTATGTGAAAGTAAGAACAACTTAGAGAATAATTGTATTTTGTCTTGTCTCTCCTTTTCATGTCATTCAACATTTTAGCTTAGAGAATGACAAACAGTATGATTTCAGTATTGGAGTATTGGAGGAACATTTATTTCACCCAAGGAAGAGCACTACATATGAAGCTACAACTGTCCCATTTAGTCCCACTCTTGGGGGACTGGAGGCTGATGAAAAATCTTTGGGATTTCTAGTGTTAATTGTCATTATTTGTTCAACACAATGAAAAAGCTAAAATAGTAATTTTCTTTATGACTATCATTTCCCACATTCATGTGGGTGTGGGAGCTTTGGGCCATTATCGGTTGGTTCTAATTCCCCAGATTAGTTTATGATCAACTCGATGACTCCATGGCTCCCCAGCTCCTGGCACATATGTAAATAATAAATATTATTTTCCCTATCAAAGCCTTTTATACTTGTGCCACATTAGAATCAAACCCACAAATAATTCTCTTACCACTGAGCTCAATTTGCCCTGTATTAAGAGTCCAAATAATGGAGCTTCCACCATTGTGAATGCACAGTTGTTATGGAGGTATCCTTTGTTTCTGTCTAAGTTAGCATTCCAGAAATATCTACTTGAATCTCGTAGTAACTTGCCCAGAATGATTGGGTTACAATATAAATGTCTGTAAATAAGGCTGTGACATTTCTAACCTGTGTCCTACATGTAATGCCAGTATTGGCACATTGTTGCATCATGAATGGGCCTGCCCAGAAATTCTGACATTTTGGAAGAATAAAGTTGATCTGGTTGAATTAAGCTGCTGAAGAAGTCCTCTTTGAAAAAAAAATTCTGTATATTAGCCATTTATGTTAATCGCTCTTCACCAAGGCCACAAAACAGCACCCTAACCCTTTGATTGACTTGTGTATCCTTTTCAGGCTAAGAGATGAATCGCCATGAGAGGGAGAAGTACTGCAACTGCAGCGTGGCTACAGGAGATGGCTTCCTGCCTTATCTTAGATAAATTAACATGCATGAATAAAGGAAAGATCGGTTAGTTTAATAATTTCTTAAATGGTTGTTTAAAAATTTGTATTTCATGTCTCATATATGCAAAAAAAAAAATATATATATATAATAATAATATAAATATATATAGCAAAAAAGGCCTATAAGTATACTGGTTAATTCAAGTGCATCTTCATAGGCTGCATCCTGATGGTATATTCATTTTAGAAAAGGTTTTTCTCTTGGAAAGACCTTCAAATTAGCCCCATGCAAAGCTGTTATAAGTTCCGTTTTTATTTGTTGTTTTCTGAGCATTGGACGATGTGCACTTAGGCTGAAATGCCTGGAAAATTAATTCCTTTAAGTAGTAGAAGCCATCTAAATTTTGTCTCGCTTCAGAAAAACCTTTCTTATTGTACAACGATTAACTTTAAGAAAAGTGGTCTTATAACTTTTCTCAAAAACAATGTGAGAATTGCTTCTCTCAGTTGAATACTATTGTAGTTCCTTCTAGGCATTAAGTTGAAACAGTCCTCTAACAGACACAACCAAATCTCATGTTTTAATCGCTATTTCATATAATCACTGTGGTTCTCTTTTTATTACCATCACATAAAGCTGTTTAGTATTTTAGTTTTTGTGTAACCAGTAGTGACCGTGAAACCAGTATTAACTCAAAGCCTTAAAATTAAAAATGAAATTGTTTCGTTTTTACCAGGACTGGAATCTTAAACTCCATCCGTTAATCCACATTAATCCCTTGTATTTCAAGTTATGCCGTTTTACTTTACTTTATATTTCAATACCTTATTATGATAATGTCATTTTTGAGAAAACGACTGATCATTTTAAGAAAAACAGAAAACATCCACTGTTTGAATTAAAAAATAGTACGAATAATTCGAGTCCACCACGGTGGGATTTTGACTTACCTGTGAGTTGATGATGCGAATGGTGGTTTTGTTTCCCACATCTTTCTCATATCCCTCTGTAGGAGCAGTATTGAACCGCAAAACTGCATCATGAGTATCTGAAAGACAAACCAGGGCCCTAATTATCAACAGGCAGGGCAGCAATTGTGCTGATCTTCAAATATATAATATAATGCTATATTGATGAAAAAACATGTAGGGTCAGGCAAAGGGACAATCTTAGATTATTATTGATTAGAACATGCTGAGGACCTACCAAAGCAGGGATCCTGTGAAATCTAAAAGGCACAAATATAGCTTTGCACGTCTTTGGTCTTTACCCCATGTCTGCCAAAGGTCATCTAGAGCTGCAAATATTTTATAACTCATTAATAGAATTTTTTTTTCTTTGTTCTGTTGCCATTTAAAACATACAAGAGTTTATTTGCATATTTTTCATTTGAGAAAAACATACAAGTTCAACTTTTATAAAAATGAAGAATAGATTATTTTCCATAACATATTATTAAATGTAGGGATGAAAAAATTAACTGGATTAATCATGATTAATCGATTATTGAAATAATTGTGAACTAATTTATTAATCGATTAATCGTTAACTATATAGTTAATGAGTATAGAGACTGTAAAACATGCTTTTAGCTGACAGAGAAACCCGATTAGAGCATTAGTTATATCAAAATTGTAAAAAAAACAAAAAAACATTTTGCATTTAAGATAAAAATTAAAAAAATGTGTCTGTCAATATCCTCTATCCAGAACTCCTCAAATGGAAAAGTTTTAGTTTTACCTGGTTTAATTTAATTAGAAAATCTTATTTAAGGAGTCTTTGGCTATTAAATTATTATTTGATTAATCGAGAAAATTATTGAGATTAACCCATTTGCGAAATAATTGTTAGTATTAATATTGTTATAAAATAAAAAAGGGATATATTTGTACCATGACACCAACCCCTAGCAACAAGAATCCCTAGTTAGAAGAGGTGAAGTTCTGTCATTTCAGAAAAAACAATCTTCAAAGTCATTAAGCTAAATGGCATTTGACTCCTAACCCCAATGCCCCCCCAACAAAAACTTTAAATATGAACAGTTGTTCCTCTTATTTATTGATTCAGGCAAAGCCTGAAGCACATGCACCATAACTGTTGATCGATAGTCATACAAGGAGAACTACAGCACCCCCCGGTGGTTGGTTCAGGTTTCTGATGGTGATGAGTAATGAGTTTGCTTTCAAAAACATTATCATACCTCACGGCTGTGAACGATTCATGTAATGTCTTTTAATTTTATTGCTCTCTGTGAAATCTCCATCTGAACAGATGGCGCTTCATTTACATACATTTCAGCCTATTTGCTGATTGATTATGTTGCAGCAATCCTCGTCTTGTGCTGAACTGACACATGGATAAATGATCCTTCAGCTTATGACCAGACATTCCTTCATCGTTCATATAAACCTTCAGCAAACAGTTGAGTTTAGCCAGCTGCTCTGTAATGCTCAAAGCGTGTCTGCAGTGGTAGACTTGGAATGACCCCATCCCAAAACAGGCATTGCTCTGCATCTTTATCAAGGTACTTTTTCAGAAAGTAATAAAGTTAAATTGCTCTAAGTAAATAAGAGTTTCAACTGACATAAAGTTTTAGTCGAGGTATTGCTGAAAGCTGTTGCAATTTATAAATTGAAGAAGAATAAGTAAAAAGGATCTTAAACATCCACACAAGAAAAAACACAAAATAACAGTGTTGCTTTGTTTAATTAATGCAAAAGACTTCGAATTGACTTTTTATTGAATTGTACTATACAAATATATTTGCTTTGCCTTTGGAAAGGCTTAAAAAATTAATACATATTCTGGCTTAAAGGGCATCATTTGTTGCACCACATTTATCCTAACTTCAAAGTGCAGGTGAGGGAGAATCAAGAGCAGAGCTAGGACCAAATTATAGATTTGCAAGTTTCAAGTAAGTCTCAAGAGTTTATCTTAAGGCCCAAGGCAAGTTTAAAGCAAACTGACACTTTGAATACCTTTGAATAACCCTTTTTAAAGGCTTGATTTCTTAAACAAAGGTTACGTATATGTTAAATTTAAAAAAAAAGAGACTGGGAAGTACTAGTTTGTGTTTAATAATATGGGACAACTAAATGAATTGCTGGTGCACATTTTGTAACATAGAAGGCCTCTTAAATTTCCAATTGGGGGTCAATTATCATGTAAATGAGCTCAACTCCCATTCAAGTCCCAAGTCATTGATCTAGAAGTCTAAGTTACGAGCCTTTGAACATTTTTCCACCTCAGTCTCGAGTATTAATTTGAAGTCACATGCCTCAAGTCTCCAACTCTGATTAATAGAAGTAACAATAGTTTGTTGCTACAGTCAAAACACCACAGGATGGCCTCAGAGATTATCTAATGTCAAGCTTCTTTGACATCAGACATTGTTTTTGGATTTAGTGGTAGACATCGATGAACTAATCACTCATTAAACCAAGTTAATTCTAATGTCATAGACATTTCAATCATAATAAACAAAACAGACATTTGTCTTTATCATAGAAGAATTGTTTGTACATTATTTTTCACTTCAAATGTTAATGACTTTTTAAAGTAGTGTAAATGAAGCCAATCAAAACATTTTCATGCATGTGACTGCACCTTCTGGACCTCTTCTTACTTTTTATTAAATGATAAAATATGAATAAAGTGCCAAATCCTTGGATTTACAATTCTAGCCTGAAATACCTCTTCCAAAGATCTGTTTCAGTTTCTGAAACATGTTCATAAAACATCAATTTTTAAGGACACTTTTCTTTTTTTCATTTTCATCTGACTAACACATACAAATGATGCAATACCTATCCTGTCACCCTTTTTGCAAGCTGCTTGTTTGATCAGTGACGGGAGGTCCTGAAGGTTAACAGCTGTCAAAGACGACATAATGGGGAGTTTTAATCCACCCTCCAGATATAAATGGTGGAAAAAGAAAACCTCGTATTGACTAGATAGTTTCAGGAAAACAACTGGTATTCATATTAGTGTTCAGGATCAGCCAGACAGAACGTAGGCAGACATTACAGAATCCAGAAAATAACATAGGACAGAAATGGAAATCTAACAGTTATAGAAGCTTCCATGTGTTTTTCATTTACAATTTTATACATAGTTTTAACTTTTTCTTTTTTTGCACTGACTAACTTTCAATGAATATCTATTATGTATGTTTTGTTACCAAAATCAAAAGCTGAGGGTGTTATGTATTATGTATAATGTATAAAAAAGGACAGACTATGCATATATTTGCATTATATATCTGTAAAAAATGTCCCAAAGCTTAAATTCAGTGTTATTTCTATCAACAAAAAAAAATATTCTGTAACATGACAGGCTATTCGACACGTGATTACTGAAATCAGGCCTTCATTTATAGTTGAACCAAACACGCCGCCACATCTGACAGATCTTTTCATCAGCTACGAGAGACTAATAGCCTGCTTCATAGGGACACACTGGACTCTAACGAACAATCAAAGAAGAGACTGACAGAATGTAAAAGACCTTTTTAACCTCCTCAGTGTTATACTTGATTCTACCATCAGAGGGCAGTCTGTCATGTGTTTATTCATTCTCCACAGACCTGGTGTTCAGGGATGTGAAGGAGCTGAACTTATCAAGGGGGCAGTGGAATGAATCAAAGCCTGACAAATGTATTACTATTCTAATTCAATTAATAAATAATGGCTTACTGCTTTAAAAATATAACATGGACCTCATGAACATTTGGGAGACTTGAAAAAATGCAGAGTGTTCATTTTGTTGCTCTGTACTTGTGACAGTGTAATGACAATAAAAGCTGGAAAAGGAAAAATAAACACTTGAGAAGCTGGCTGATCACTGAGTAACATATCAGGGCAGTTAAATGGAAAACTGAGTGGAAGGACAACGTATGGTAGATAAACCTGCATGATCAACAAGAAAATCCACAACACTGAGATGATTGTGGAGCTGAGACCATAAGACCATAGAACAAAGCAATGGGAGAGATTTACAAGGCAGTAATTGCTGATAAAATGTGAATTTAATCAGGTAATTTAAATCCTATAGTCTTGAGGAAAAGTGGGGATGATGTGCTCTGAACTGCTTGATATCCAGGGTAAAGTTACACTATAAACCCTTCATAAGGCAAGTTACCATTTTTAATCACTTGCCTTACTAATGGAGTCCCCCCCCCCCGTGCCTCATTGAGGTCTAGAAGCACAAGATCTATATCCAGCCATTCAGCAAAGATCACGCTACATGGCGGTACATCTTATTTTGGCATTTGACCAATTAGATGAGCCCTACTGGAAATTAAGTTAAAAAGCAAAAGTTAACAATTCAAGAAAAAAGGTCAAGTTAAAAAGTTAATAAGCCAAGTTAGCAATTATATTTAGGTATTTAAACTAAAAAATGTAAGTGCTAGTATCAGCATTAATGCCTCTAAGGTTATGTTGGATTTAAAAAAAAGTGTTTTTCATGAATTTCATATAGAAGGACTTTTGGCGTTTCCGGTTTTTACATTGACATTTTTTGACATCAAAATATACATATTTTTTGTATGTAACAAAGGTAGTAAGGTCCGGCCCTGAATTCCAATAACACTATTGGCTGGAAATTTCACTTAGTGCCTTATAAAGGATTAAGGAAGATTCATGGACCACTGTTTACTCTTTATTTTTGTTCAATGTATCTTATTGAGTTAAAAACTGTACCAGCAAATGTTAAGTGCCTCCATCATTTAAAAAGCTTTATGGAAATGCAGTTTTATTTTAATTGATTTTTGTTGAACCATGAGAACCTAGCACCTTAACACACCCACCAAATGATCAAACCTGTTCTAAAGATGATGCGACAACTGAAGCTGACCAGTCAGAAAACTGGCTTGACTTAAACCTTACAGAAGATAAATATTAGAATCATCAAGAGGAAAAAAGAGCCAACAACTTCAATAATAGCAAGAGGACCAATACTTATTTGTACTTATGTAATAATTTATACAAAAAGAGCTCCAACCAATGTATGTGCTCTATAGTTCAATGGCAGGCTATGAGTAAATATTAT